GCATAGGCCACTGCACCTGGCCTGAAATTATTTCTTTTCTTTGCTTGCTTGCTTAAAATTTTTACCTTTAAAAATTTCAATTATTAGGGTACAAATGTTTTTAGTTACATGGAATGTGTGTGGAATGCGTGCTGAAGTTGGAAAATGTGCCATGATCCGGGGAGTGGCAGTGAAAGTTTTACATTTTAGTTTTTTAATTTCAGTATTTATTGCTGAATATGTTAATATTTTAATATTTAAAAAACTAATATAATCTGATTTTGGACTGTATCTGTGGCTACGTTATAACCAAGCACTGCCATTTAATTTTAGTGCCCACATTTGCTTCTAAGTTCATAACTGTGTTGACACCAAGTGATCACAGAAAGTGACAGCTTTAAACTTTCCCTTAAACTGAGGTATGAGCCCCACATTTTCTGTATTTTCTGAAGTTTGAGAAAGCTGAGCAATGGTAAACACCATGCTAGGTAGGGGTGGGAAGGTGGGAGGGCATTTGTAGGATAGTCACAGGAGAAAGTGACTGCAAAAAAGAGAAAGTTCCAGAAATAGGAGGCAGCATCAGGGAGCAATGAGCTGTGACCCAGGCTGATTTGGGTTCCAAGGCCAGCTCGGCCATCTGAGCTGAGGCCATTGTAGATGGGTGGGAATTAGAGAATCATTTATGTGAAATCTCTTGCCCCACTCAGCTGCAGATATGGATTCATCCCACTAATCACCAACATCCCTTCACTGGTATAGCATAACGAAGGGCAAAAAGAGTAGATTTTCAATGCCCTGAGAAAACACTTTGGCCAATGTACGTATCTCTCTTTTCTCTTCTTCCTGCACTCACACATCTCAAAGTCCATGTGCCATGTTTGAGAAAGTCATCTTTACCTCTGAAGTTATTTTGTCTTCTTCTTCTTCTTTTTTTTTTTTTTTTTTTGTAGAGACAGGGTCTTACTGTAGCTTAGGCTGATCTTGAACTCCTGACTTCCTCAAGTGATCCTTCTGCATTGGTCTAGCAAAATGCTAGGATTATAGGCATAGGCCACTGCACCTGGCCTGAAATTATTTCTTTTCTTTGCTTGCTTGCTTTTTTTTAAATTTTTTTTTTTACCATTTTTAAAAAATTTCAACTTATTATGGGGTACAAATGTTTTTAGTTACATGGATCACTTTTGTAATGCTTGAGTCAGGGTTAAAAATGTGTAGCCATGAATTCCCAGGGGATACATGAGTTCAGTGAAAAGTTTTACATTTTAGTTTTTTAATTTCAGTATTTTATTGCTGAATATGTTAATATTTTAATATTTTAAAAAACCTAATATAATCTGATTTTGGACTGTATCTGTGGCTACGTTATAACCAAGCACTGCCATTTAATTTTAGTGCCCACATTTGCTTCTAAGTTCATAACTGTGTTGACACCAAGTGATCACAGAAAGTGACAGCTTTAAACTTTCCCTTAAACTGAGGTATGAGCCCCACATTTTCTGTATGTTTCTGAAGTTTGAGAAGAGCTGAGCAATGGTAAACACCATGCTAGGTAGGGGTGGGAAGGTGGGAGGGCATTTGTAGGATAGTCACAGGAGAAAGTGACTGCAAAAAAGAGAAAGTTCCAGAAATAGGAGGCAGCATCAGGGAGCAATGAGCTGTGACCCAGGCTGATTTGGGTTCCAAGGCCAGCTCGGCCATCTGAGCTGAGGCCATTGTAGATGGGTGGGAATTAGAGAATCATTTATGTGAAATCTCTTGCCCCACTCAGCTGCAGATATGGATTCATCCCACTAATCACCAACATCCCTTCACTGGTATAGCATAACGAAGGGCAAAAAGAGTAGATTTTCAATGCCCTGAGAAACACTTTGGCCAATGTACTATTTGGGCAAAAGTTGGGGGCAGCAGAGGCACTCCTGGAGTGTCTGTGGCCATGACAACATCACCCCCAATCTGCCACCATGAAGCAAAGATACAGTAGAGAGGATAACTTCTGTAAAGTGCACAAAGAATCAACAGGGGCTGGTCACTCCCCTGCTGACAGGAGTGGCAGAAGAGGGTTTCTGGGGAAAGAGACACAATGTCACATCTGAGAAAGTCATAGGGAAGAAAGAAATCAATTGTGTAAAATATATACTGTCAGTACTTGGAGCTCAAGCTTTGTAGATTTTGGGCACCTCATTGCAATGTTCCTGCCATGCCTGGCCTTCCTGGTGTAGGATAATGTGAGTCTTGGTTCCATGCACTTAGTCACCTCTGCTCCAACTCCTAGAGCAGAAAGCACATGAGGTAGTCTTGGCTCAACTTCTGGGCCTGGTCTCCCATGGGAGCTTCTCCTCCACTCTTAGATGGAGCACAGAGAAGAGCAAACTCCTGTTGGCTGTAACATGGCCAGCAGGGCAGCAGCAGGTTTTAGAGGGAGATCAATGGATTAACCCAGTTGACACTCAATTTTCTCATTGGAAAAACAGGAATAATTTCAAAGACAAGATAAAACCACCTAACCTGGGCTCTGGACCCAATAAATTGTAGCCATCATCATGATTTAAATTCGGCACTGGACAGAACAAGGCCTGGGGAAGCCTGGCTCTCAGCCCAGAGAGCATAGGTAGAAGGCAACTTCAGTTGCTCTGTCCTTGAGGCTTTTGGACCTCATCTGGCTGTCCTCAGGGTCTCTAGAAACTAGATAACTATTTCTCACATCAGTCACATGTGTGCACCTGGGGATTTTGCTTGCAGGGCATGAAAGTATCTGGGAGAAAGTGCCACACTTAGTGTCCAGGGACCAGCTATGCCAACTACTTGGTCTTGGAGCCAGCCACCATATTAGTAGAAAGATTGGCCCTGGAGAATTCTGTTCTGTGAACTGTCATTTACAGAGAACAAGTGAGGATTCATCAGCATTTAAATTCCCCTTTTCTACTCTCCGCCTTTGGGCTTGCTCTGCACTGGCACCTCCATGATACAGTGGAAGCATAGAAGGAGGAGAGCTCCTTATGCACAGCGGTGAGGAAAATCTTTGCTGTCATTGGCTCAATTACAGTCAGCTCGCATGACGGGTTTGATGGATTTTAAGCCCACTTGGGAATGTTCAGAGAGGAAACTATACTGACCTGGAGAAGCACTAAGAAGATATAGAGCACCTGACAAAGGCATCCTCTTTACCTACTTGCCTCCCCAAACCAAGGCTCATGAGCTTTGGGGTAATGTTATGCACCTTGAGAAAAATAAAAACATTTTTCATAGTGGAGTCCACCTCTAGGTGTTGCTGGTACTATACCAGGCAGACCAATTCATAGAACCATCTCTTCCACGTCCTCTTCTTCAACTCCACTACACTAAACTCAGGATAGGGGAGAAGTGAGCCCGACAGGGATGTCAAATCTTGTTCCTGTAGCGATGGCACCTCAGGTCCAGGAAGCACGAGTGGAATTTCATGTGGGCACAGCTGGCTTCGAAGTCTGAGTCAGAAAAGCAGCGACTAGATGTTTGTAACCTGAGTTCTTCTAAGTATTGTTTTTTGTGAAGTTTGATGGACCTGAAAAGCTCGAGGTCGGTGCATCTTAGTGGTTTTATTAGCTGCTTCCGGGAAGCAGACAGGCACAGCTACAGGCGTGATCAACAGTAGAGAGATGGAAGGAGGGCGGATGTGGGAACTCCTTGCACCTTCTGATCAATTTTTCTGTAAACCTAAAACTGCATTTAAAAAAATAAAGTTTACTAGTTAAAAAAAGAAAAGAAAAAAGAATGAAAACTACAACTGGTGTTGAGTAGTTCACTTTGAAAAACTACTGATCTCTTATCTGTATCTGCCCCCTTTCTCATTGTTACTGGGCCCAAAATCATTTTATAATTAAAAAAATAATAAGTTGCATGCAAAAAAAAAAAAGAAAAAAAAAAGGCAGGTAGGGGTAGAAGGATGGGTCAGTGGTCAGGTCACCGAGGCAGTGAGTCCAGAGCCTGACACATAAGAGATACTCAGTGAACACAATGAATGAATGGGCGGATAAGTGAGTAAAGGAGGTAGGTGGCCTTTGTTGGGACACATGGTCTTTCTAACACCTTGGGGCAATGCTCAGGTGCACACTGCCCCTGGGGACCAGCTCTGTCCCTTTCTGTAGCTCAGAAGCTGCCGTCACCCACTCTATCTCTGTACTACTTAGAACATAATGCCATCGACTTGCCCGTTTCTCATATCTCTAAAGACAAAAGACCAGGCCTTTTTGCTTGTAAGTGTTTTGCTGTCAATTGTAGGGGAATAGGAGAAAATGAGAATTTCTTTTTCTAAGCTAGCAGAACATTTAGAAAGTTCTTAGGGCCCTGGGTGCTGGCATATAGTTTTTGCCTTGCACCTGCAGTGGCAACTGCATGGCCCTTTGGTCTCCAGTGTTGGGCTTTTATTTGCTGTCATATCACCCTTCTTACTGTCTAACATGATCTGTGCTCTTGTTTATTGTCTGCCTCATTTTGTCTGGACATAAATTCGTTGAGAGAAGGCTGCTGCCCGTCCTATTCCCGCTCTATCTACAGGGCTTACAAGAGGGCCTCTGCTATAGTGGGTGCTCTGGCTGGAGAGTGAATTAACAGAAACCCAAGAGTCAAAGGCAGTTTGGATAAGAAACCTGAATCCGAGTCGGGGAAGTTAGTAGCACTCACATTCAGTGGGCAATTGGAAATACGGATATCCACGTTATTTATGCATCCCAAAATTATTACCTAAGCATCTACTATGCACCAGCCACCATGTGGGTGCTTTAATACAGACTTGGATTTCAGCCTCTGATGTCCTAGGAATAGAAGCTCCTGATCAAGTTCTCAACTCACTTCTGCTGCCAATTTGCTGTGTGGGTTGGACCAAATCACTTAACCTCTCTATGTACAAAGTAGGTTAGCCGATATTCCATCACCTCCCAGGGCAGTTGTAAGGATTAATTGGCATTTATAGGGTGCTTTGAGATCCAGAGATGAAAGGTCTCCTGCTTCTGCCAAATCGCATGATTACAGTAGTGTGGTGGGATAAATGATTTAGAGCTTAAGAAGGACTTTGAAGATGAAAAGAGACTTAAGTCTTATTATGATTTCTTTTAGCTCCTAGGCAGTACTGACCTCGAGGTTTATGTGCCCCTGAGTCTTTCTGGCACCACTGGGATTCTGTTTCTTTCTTTCTTTTTTTTTTTTTTCCTTGTCCTTCCCAGGAAGTTACACTGACCCTTGAATTTTTTATTTTGCATAGTTCTTAAAAGAAAAATTAAAGGCAGCATCTTGCATTATAGAAACACAACTTCAATGAGCCTAGGGCTAGGGAAGGAAGAGGAAGGCACAGAATGGATTTTTCTCTGACACTCTTGTTCCCGGATTTGTGTCCTATTGCTCACTGATTGTTGGTAGCAATGAATTCTATTGAAAGACAGAGCAACTCCCTCAACAAAACAGAGCCAAGTAGGAACTAATCCAAAGTATGGCTTGAGGCATCAATTTGTTTGATGTTAGATTTAGAAAATATGTTGAGAACCAAGTCTCTGAGGACATATGAAAGCTGCCTCATATGAGAGACAAAATAGTTACCTATATACCCTGTGCCTTTCTGGAGTTTCTGTCACTCTTGGAGGGTCACAAGACCCCAGCTCTGGAGGTGGAGAGATTCCACTTGACATTGCAGGGCTTTGACCATCTCCCTCTGAGTTCTCTGGACTCAGGGGGAGGCCTCAGCTGGAATGTACCTAAAGCAAGGCTGTACCTTGGAGGGAGTTTGGGGTCTGGGACTGGGGCAACAAAACCATTATGGGACCCACCCTACATAATATCACTTGAAAGGAGTGGACTCTGTCCTCATTTTTCAAAGCCCACTTGGGACAGAAAATTTGAGGTGAATGTTGTTAACGGTATTCAGAAAAGGGGATATAGCACAGTACCCTAAGGCTTCCTTCCTGCTCACCCCTGCAGTGCAGGTCTGCACAGGGGGCTGGGGAGTTTAGGTGGTGGGTGCCTCTGATTTCCACCTGGCTGGGAGGTTTTGCTGAACACACTTACATGGTGTTCCTGAGATAGAAGATCTTGATCCTGGATGCGGGATACCCAGATAGGACCTGATCTTGGTTAGATTTATCACTCTGCTCAAAAGAAACCTACAAGACCAGAAGGAGCATTCAATTTCTTAATGCCAGAAGAGAAGGAAAACTTATCTGTATTAGCTCTCTCAAAACCTGACTGGCGGACAGAGATAGTATACTTTATTGGCTGGTCTTGATCCTTTCCCACATACCATATCTCTTCCCACTTCATTTGCTCAAGTCCACGGGTCTCTTTTTATTGTATCCTCTTAGAGTGCACACTAGTTAGTATCAGCTGGGAGGTGGGGCATGATTTCATTCATACGCTGCCCCACTTTCTAGCATATTTACAGGTGCATGAGGGTCTGGCTTTTGAAAAACACAAAGCATATGCAACTTAAGTCAACAATGACAGTGACAATGCAGAGTCGTGCTGAATCTGTTTCTGGGAGTACCTGTCACCGCAGAAAACTCACCAGAGTGCTATGTTTAAAGTAAAAGCCCTAATTGTGTGCCTTGCCACAATGCATGGGCCCTTCTGGTCAGAACCATTTTCTCTGAAGGACATGTGTCTATGTGCCAAGTAGAGAAAGCGCCTGTCAGCCAGTGAGAGTGATTCTGACAAGAAAGTTTTCATCTATGATTTCAAAGTCTTTTAGTAATTCACAAACAGGCAGGCCATTCTGTAACATAATTGAGTTTCCATTTCTAAACAGTGATATAATAACATAGTAGTTTGATCCAAAATTCTGTCCCAGAATGTCCTATTTTTTGGCAGTTATTTTAAAAATGGCACAATCGAGCTTTATTGGATTTGGAGAATATTTCCTTTTCTCTATGCTGTGCTTTCTGAAGTCATAAGATTGCTTGATGAAAGGTGCCTTGTGAAAACAGTGCCTTATTTTAAGAAAATATTATTTAACTTTTATGGTATATCTTTTCTCAGTATTCATGTTATATATTGCTCTGGGCATATCTAGAGCTGTGGGATTTTAAAGCACAGTTTCTATATATTTATTATTACATTATTTTTATCATCTCTGAAGATTGTTCCCAGTGGTCTTCTATATATCTTGTTTTTGTTATGTCTGATTCTAATTTTATCCAGGGAAGGCTGTGGTTTGATGAGTTTAAATCATAGGAAGGACATGTGCTAAATTAAAGGCTTGTTGGTAATTTTTTTTAGGGGAGATGCTGGGTATTTTTAACCCTCTCTTCTTACTGAGGAGAAACAGGTTTTTATATGAATGTGTATTAAAAATATTTTTTAATGCATGACTTCTGAAGAAGTCTGAGAATGCTGTCATGAATGCAGGAAAGGGCTGGGGGGATTGCATGCATGAGAAACATAAAAATGAAATATTAATATGACCAGGCACTAGCTTCAAGGCATTTGTTCTCCAGAAAATAAATGCTGCCACATTTCATTTCCGTAAGCCTCTGTCTAACGTAGTTGATATCTCTGTCTTCATTGTTTAATTATAGGCCTAAGGGGTGGCTGGAGTGGGAGGGTATCTGGTCTTACAATTGATTTTATTTATTGGCTGTGGTCAGGTTGGAGACCTCTGGGAGGCAGGAGGTTTCCAAGAATAGCAGATCTTAGATGTTACTGACTTGGTCTTATTCAAAGAACTGGTTATTTCACTGGAGTTCAGTAGCTGCGGGCTGTCCACAGGTGTAGCACCCTGAATGTCATTATCCCTTACGGGAAGTGTATCAAAAAATTATCTGGGCACTCATAGAAAAAAGTTCTCCAAATTAGAGTTGGGGTAGGAAGCATGGTTTGACTAGCCAGCTTAGGCTCAACGGTATCTTAGAGTTGGAATCTTAATTTTTTAGTTGAGTGATACAATACAAGGGGCCCAATATCTTTTGGAATCATAAGCAATGTTTTGTGTGGCTGTGCATTTTTCTGGGGAGAGTGTGACTAGGCTTTCCCCAGATAGTCACAGCCCTGAAAGTTGAGAACTTTTTCCTGGGCAGGTGACTCGGTCCCTGCACTGTGGATCAACACCTGGCGGACTCCCACACGGGGTCTCTGCTGTGGAGGAATGCCAGCCCCGGGAGCACTGTGCCGATGCACCGAGAGCTTGAATTGGAGAGCAGGAGCCACGCTCAAGTCCCCAAAGGCTACAGCAGGTGATGTAAGTGGCTGAAATGAGACTGGGGATAGGATGGTGACCAGAGAGGTGGCTCACTTTCCAAAGGGGAACGTTGTATCTTCTCCACGGTGAGGTTTTGCCAAGCAACAATGCAGCCCACCTGTTGGATGTTTCTGTATCTCCAAGTGTTTCAATGTCAGCAACTAATTCAAAATTTTGAAGAATATTGAACATACCTGACAAAATGCTTACAGGGCAGATTTGTCTGTGATCCATTTGGTTTGTCACCCTTCTCCCATTGTAAGCCACTTTTCATAACATAACTTCTTTTCTATTCTAAAATGAAATTTATAGATAACACTTCATTTTAAAAAAGTGAATATGTTGCCTTAATTGTAATACAAAGGAGAAGGAACAGGAGAGACACTTATGATAAAAATGTGTATTTTAACCTGTAAATAAATGCTCAGGCGTGACTATATCAAAAGAAAAAAATAAAAAAAAGCACCTATAAATTTCCAAAATGCTCCCTTGGGAGCAGGATTGTCATCACTGAAAACCACAATGCTAGAGGCTTTTTTCTCATGTAAATCCAATCTGGCTTCCTTGGACTTTTCACTCATCAGTCTTGGGTCTGCCCTTTAGTGCCACATAAAACACATTTCCTTTTGCCTTTATGGAACAACTTTTCAAAAATATGAAAAGACTTCCTATCTTCTCTCTCACACCTTACACCCTTCTCACACCCAGGTCTTGTCTTTTTTGACCAAGCATTTCCAGTTCCTTCAACTATCCCTGACACAGCTCACCCTCCCAACAACCACTGTCATTCTCCTTTCGTAAGCTTGGGACCCCACCCCAGTCCTTCATCCGTTCTGCATGGTAGGACGGTCTGAGCTGTCTTGCCCTTTCTTTCCTCACCCTCTACCAGGGGGCATTTGTGGACACCTGTGTAGAACGCCCTGGACTGTGGTGTTCCATGGGGTAGCTTTCCGTGCGGGAGCATTCTTGGTATTCTGGTGACTTGGGAAATGTAGCCCTTGTTCTGAGTGCTGGGCTGCCCACTGGACGTTCCATTACATTGAAGCAGCTGCAATTGCCAGGTTTGACTGTATGTGGCCCATAGAATAAGCTCTAAACCTAACGTTCTTACTAGTGCAGTTAGCTGCAGCCACATCCCATTTGTCCGCTCATTTCAGCAGTTTCCTTTGTTGCTGACATCACCTTCTGAGTGTTGACGTTGCCGGTGCAAAGAGCCGGCAGCTTTTCTAGTGCTCTGCTTTGCAGATGAGGCCTCCAGTGGAGGCACGGAAACCAATGAAATCATTATTTTTTTGCTCTTTTGTCCTACTGGGCTGTTTCCATCTCTACATCAGCTACAGTGTGAAACTTGACCTCCTTTTAAAACTTACAACATGTTCAAACCGCTTACATTAAGAATTCATGAGTTGGGAGCACAGAAACAGAAAGTCAAGTGATGGTTACGGGGGTCAGGGCAGGGTGAGGTGGGGGAACTGGGGAGATGCTGGCCCAAGGGTATGAACTTGCAGTGATCAGATGAATAAGTTCTGGGGATCTAATGTACCGCATGGCGGCTGTAGTTAATAATCATGTATCGTATACTTGAAATTACCTCAGAGAGTTGATCTTAAATAATCTCACCACACACACAAATGTAACAATGTGAGATGATGGATATGTTAGTTTGATTGTGGTAATCATTAGATAATATATACATATATCAAAACATCACACTGTACACTTTGAATGTATACAAGTTTTCTTTGTTAATTATACCTTGGTAAAGTTAAAAAAAACCCCACAAAAACGAACACAAAGAATTCTTAAGTTTAGTGTTTTGTTTTTAATTTTGGAGGATCAATAGGAGTTAACCACCTTGCAGAGTACGTAGACTTTCATCTTCTCACTGACTTCTTGTCCCTCATCTCCTCCTCTCTTCTGCCTCTTGGGTTGCCCACGGCCCTCAAAAATTCACTCCTCTTTGATGCAGAATAGTTACATTCTCATTTCTGAGGATTTGGGTCTGCCAACATACAGGACCCAACTAGAGGAGAGGGGTGAAGTAGGGAGAGAAATGAGTGTCTCACTGAGCACCCCGGTCTTTGTTAAAATTGATTTTCAAAACAAAATATTTCCCTTCCTAAGATAGGTTCTCATGCAAGCTATTAATTATAAAGAAAATAATTGTAAGAAAAGTATAATCATAAAGAAAATTTTAACTTTTTTTGTTTCAATGTATTTGTATGCTTTATTCCATCCACCTATCTGGAGGAAGTACACATTTATTATTTGTTTGTGGTTTCTTCCCACACCCATTGATTGAGTGCCTGGTCTGTGCTAGGGACTGGGCTCAGGCCTGTGTCTATGGGCTATATGGGTCTTACCTCAAGGAACTGGTGGCAGCAGAAAAGTCAACCTAGCGTGTTTTGAGAGTGGTGTTATTGGGTGTTATGGATGCACAAAAGAGGACCACATAATCTGGTATTGAGACATCAGGGAGTCCCTGGTAGACTGTGCCAATCTACCTGCTCAAAGATGAGCAGAAGTTAACCAGGTGAAGAGGGAGGGCAAGAGAGTCCCAGGTAGATTGAGGAGCACGTGCAGATGGACGGCGTGAGACCTGAAGCACATTTCACGGGAAATCAGTCCCAGGCCATACATGAGTGACCTGCTGGGGATCACGGTAAGGCTCTTCCTGTGAAAGCTCAGGGCCCCTGACTGTACCTCCGTCCTACAAGTGAAGGTCCATGTAGATTACCTGTGGCATTTCTTCAACAAAACCTTTACCCTAGTATCATGAGCTTTACTTTTCTCATTTTTCCATCGGATTGCTATCTTCCCCTTCCTGCTGTCTTGGCAGTTCATAAGGAAATGGATGTATGTAAATAGGCTCTTGTGAGATCTCATCTCTAAGTTGATAAAAATTAGGATTGTGAGTCTACCTTGAGCTCCTCTTTCTCATTTTCTTTTCTGAGGACCTGAAGTTGAGTAGATCTAGGTTCAGATTCCAGTGCCACCATTTCCAGCTGTCGGACCTTGGGCAAATTATGTAAATCCTCTGAGTCTCAGTTTCCTTAGCTATAAAATAGGGATGGACTAATACTTACCTTATAGAGTTGTGGTGATGTGCACTAACGCCTGGTGCAGAAAAAGTATTCAGCAAACAGTGGCCCTTGTCCTAATCCCTGTTAGGAACTTCAAATCCCACTCACTGAATAGGGAAATAGTGGCTGTGGATTTTGTGCCTATGTGTGGGATAAAAATGATTGAGAATTGAGTCAATGTGAGAGGGCATGAAGAAAATCCCCTGAGAAAGATTATATCTCACCCTCTCTTTCTATCACCAAAATAAGAAAATAATAAAGGAAGTTGCCAGGCCCCAGTGTCTCCCTCTGCAAAATGAGGGTTGAGTTAAATGATGTTTTAAATCCCTTTCAAATCTATAACACTTCATTCGCTTTAGTTTCCAGAATATTTGCTAATCAAGGGCTGTAAATTATAAAGGTACAGGACTTCTAAGTTGTAATTACATAATAGAGTCCCTAGGAAGCTTTCCAAAAATCCTGGTGTCCACGTCCCACTCCAGACATATTAAACCAGAATCACGAGGGGGTCGTCATTCTATAGGGCAGAGAAAGTTGAGGGTCACACTAGTAGCTGGAATAGGAGTTTTGTCTTTGATTTCAGCTTAGAGTATCCTTTATAGGAAGTCACCGAAGTCGGAGACGTAGATGTCAAAAGGTAAAATTGCATTTGTTGTTGTTTGCTAAAAAGCTTTTATTTTTCTGTTCAAGTGAATAATTAGGCTTTTTAGAGATGTATGTAGTTGCTAGTCTTTGAGTTTCCTTTACTAAAATACTCCTAGTATAAAGATGTGTGCTGCTAATTATGTTTTTAATTAGAATGGAAAAGTGTGTAAAGCTCTTTCACAGAAATGTGTACTAAATCTGTTTCAGAGAGACTTACTTGTAAGACTTTTTTTTTTTTTTTTTCCTTTTAACCCAATTCTAATTCAGGCTTTGGCTTCCATTCAAGAGAAGCCACTACAATGAAATATTTTCTGACACTATGTGGAAATAGCTGTCCTTGATGTGTGTGTCCTTATTAGTGTCAAAGCTCCTAAAAACTCCCACAGATAAAAATCTGGTTTTTTTCAATGAAAAACATTCAAAATGGAAGAAGGATGTCTGTCACGTTGACCCCAAAATAGCAAGAACATAATGAGCCCAACATGGGAGAGGCTTGAAAGGCTCAAATCTTCATGGGAAATACTTCTGGATTTTACTTCGCTATAATTGGAGGACAAAACATAATGGTATTTTAGCGTAACAATTTCTTAATGTGTACTGATTGAACTTCAATATGTGTGGTCTGCTAAAAAGAATTTCATAGGGAAAATTTCATAAATCATATATGTGTGTGTATAATTTTTAGAGGGATAATAACTGTACATTTGTTTAGGTTTGCTTTTTTCACTTATTGGTATATAGTTGCCATTCATCCTTGTCAAAACCTATGATCTCTGTCATCATTTTAATGACTGCATAATATTCCTTATTATGAATATATCAGAATTTATATTTTAACCAATTCCCTATTTCTAAACACGTATGCTGTTCCCAACTTCTCCTATGTTAAACAATGCTGCAGTAAACATCCTTGTTCATATGTCTTCTTGTTTTTGTACAGTTATTTCCTTAGGATGAATTCATACAAGTGGAATTACTGGGTCAAACAGTGTTCATAGTTTTAAGGACTTTGATGCACATTGCCAAATTGTGTTGAAGCCTACATCAATTGCCAAATTGTATTGAAGGCTATATCAATTCACACTCCTATTGGAACAGTTATGTCTTATTCAGCAAATTCTTTTCAGCAAGACAGTGTTGTCATCTGCAGAGTAATTTGACGTCCAAAGTAAAAATCTCCCCATGTAATTCATCAAATCATTTCCAAACTCTCCAAGCTCATTCTGCAAGGTAAAATGCTGGAGAAAACTAAACATGCATTGAAGCAACAAGAGTGGAGTCTGGGGGGATGAAGAGGAGAAAGAGGTTGCTGACAACAGGCTTAGAAGAAATTAATATATATATATATATATACACACATATATATATATATATATATTTTTTTTTACTTGCCAGTACCTTTCCCAACCTCTGGAAATAATGAGCTTCCTCCAAAAGAAAAGTTGGGGTCAAAAAGAAGGGAAGGGAAGAAAGAAGCGAAAACTAGAAATTCCACTTAAAATCCCACTGGGTCTTGTATTTGAGATTGGCAGCACTGAGGCATTCCAGATGGCTTTGTCCATTCTTTTGAACCTACCTTTTGATCTGATTTAAATTTCCTCCTCATTTCACCTGTTCTGGGTTTATTGCTTGGAAAACAAGCAGGTGAACATATTAGCTCCTCCTTAAGGCACCACTAGACTACAGGAAATTTATGTTCAGGTCAGGAATCATATAACATGACAACATGCTCCACATTTATGGGCAAGTTAAGCAACAGGGAATTTTATACTGGGATTTATGACACAAACTTATAGCAGGCACATTGTGAGGTGGGAGGGAAATTTAAGCAAGGAAAAACTCTGCCTATAATATTGATTCAAATTCTTCAATTGATGGAAAAAACATGTAAGGATTTTATTCTGGAAATTGCCTATGAGTTCAGACAAGAGACAGGAAAACATAAATATTATAAGCCCATCACTCGTCCTTTCCCCATATATTGGTTCTCCTCTTTCAGAAGAAGTTATTTCAGTTTTCTGGTCGATCTGTGTGCAGACCAGAACTGTCTAAGAACATTTAATTAGATGCTTGAACAACCTTTATCCCCATTAATTCCAGGAGAGAGGGGAAAAGAAAAGAGAAGCATGTGTCGAATCAAGAGGGGAAGACTTCTACATTCCTTAAAAAACTGACCTACACCTTATGCATCCGTCCTTACAGCCCATAAAAGCCAGCACAAAGGAGAGCAGCAGCTGGAATCATTCAGCGAAGGCAATGGCTTTCAAAGACGTGGCTAGCAGCAGGTGGATTATAGATTAGAGGTCCTTTTATTCTTCAAATAGTACTTATTTTCAGCGGGAAGGAATATGGTTCTTATATAGTCAATAAAGAGCAAATTCAGGGTGTTTGCCCTTTGGCTGGTGCGGCTGATGACCTGTGATGATGCCAGCATCACACCACCACCCAGCTCAGAGAACACTGGGCTGAAATACCGGTGGGTCTGGGTCCTGGCCTAGTGGAATGGGGTTCTTCAGACCCATGCTGAGGTCCACAGGCACGCGGCTTAATGCTGAATGGTCCTTGGGCTGCTGGGACAGTGAGTAAGTTTGCTTAGAACATTGTTTCTCCAAGCTTCTCTCTGATCCCTGCTCATTTGGTCAGTGTCTTCGTCTGTTCAGGCTGATATAACAAAATATCACAAACTGGGTGGTTTTTAAGCAACATAATTTATTTCTCACAGTTCTGGAGGCTGGGAAGTCCAAGATCGAGGTGCTGGCAGATTCAGTGTCTGGTGAGGACC